GATATCATTCTGGAATTTTGTTTGAAACAGATGGGCAATGTTTGGTTTTGCTGTTGGATTGTTAACAGAGTATGCAACAGGCTCAGACTTTGTTGATCAAATAAAGATCCTTCTCTCCAATTTTGGGATTGTAGATTTGGAGTGAATACCACAAGATTATATATACTGTCAATAGTTTCTTGTAGCTTATCCTAGCGCAAACAATGTTCATCAATTTGTTTCATCTTCATATATGGCAAGCAATCTTGCTTCTTTGTCTCACATTTACGAAATAACAAAAGCATCATGATTTTCCTTTTCCTTTATGCTCAAACTCTTATAAATATATGGTAAATTAAGTACAAACATGTTATGACATGAGTGACTGATAAGCATGTATCTTAAGTTTGTGATCAATCCATGTATATATGGAGGAAAATTTCTTAGAAGTAGTTAGTTAATTTAATGAATCTTAATTTTTCGTTAAATTAAGTTTGAACGTGTTAGCATTGGATGATGTTTCCAAAGCCGAATATTGATAACTTCATAGTTAACCACAAAATTTTGGTGTTTTTTTTGTTTTATTTTTTGCTTGAATTTCATTGACAATGACATTAGACAAAGATAGTTTAAAGGTGGCAAGCATTGATAATTTAATATCAATGGCCTTTTATGCAATGCTGTGAGAGTATTGGCTTGAGTTTATATCAATTTTAGATGGAATGGATTAAAAAAATAAAATAATATATGGCAGTTATGAAAGACTGCCTCTGGCTATTTTTATTTTCTAAATGTTCATATACCTTTTGGAGTTATGGTTGCATGGATGTATAAAGGAGATAATAAACTTATTTTCATATCTTTATTCTCTTTTTCTTCTACTGAAGGTTTATTGAGGATTTCATTCAAACAATCCATATACAATTTCTCCTTAAATTGATTACCTCAACCAAAATTGGTAGTCGTTTTGTGAGAAAAATAAATAAATAGATTAAAGAAGAATATTATAGATCTTTGAATAATTATTGAAGGAAAAGTAGGTTTTTCCTTGACAATTTTTTTATCACATTATTAATATGAACAATATTTTAGTTTTGCAATTATTTTTTTATAGAAAAATACACATAGATATAGATTAAAATCCTGACCCATGTGGAATGTGATCTCAACAAGGAAGTGCCTAAATGGATTTTTCGAAAGTATATTTATTTCCTAAAAATTCATTTTCTTTAATTATTTTGTATATTAGAATTAAAAAAAAAACTTTCCGATTTCAATAAATAGTGTATATATTTTTAATGTACCAAAACAATACATTCTTTGTTCCAATTATTTGTTGACTATAATGAACTGTAATCAGTAAATGAAAAATGTAACGTGGAGTTCTTTAGCTCATTTTAAGACTTCGCAATTTAAAAAAAAAAAGTTAATATATTGCAGAATACGTTTTTCCTTTACAGTTTTTTTGTCGTTGAAAAATTTTAATTGTTATTTTAAAATATCGATGTTTTGTTTTGATAAGGATTGATTAACATAAGAAAAATAAAAAAAAATTGTGTGAAATTGATTAATTGAAGGAAAAAAAAAGAATTTATCCATACTCATTTGGATAGATAAAACAGAGAATAAAAATATATGAAAAATATTTTATAACAACTAAAATATACTTTTTACTAAAATTAATTTTCTTAACATAAATTATTTACCACTTTAAAAAATATATTATAACTTCTTAAAAATTAAAGCTAGAAATTAAGAGCGAAGTCATTTTCCTTTTATTTCATGTACTTCTAGTAAGAAAATATTTTTGGATAGGTTTCGTAGGAATAAGTTTTCTCTTTTTTATTCCTGTTCTGAGATAGTAAATAGTATAAAAAGTAAATAAACGTGTGATGTGTGATGATGTGTTAGCATGGATATACGAATCTTGGTGGGTGTCCGTATTCTGCAAAGGTTGCCGGCTGTGGGACCCAAACAAAAGAATAAAAGATCTAACATCTCTGCCATACACAGACACGTGCGCCCAACACTCACTCACGCCATTGCCTACTGTCACACTCCATATGTCTTTCCATCTTCAAAGTTTCACCCTTTCCTTTCCACTTTCAAAACTCTCTCTCTCTCTCTCCCATTCTAGTAACTGCGCAGTCATTTTCTCTCTCTGCGGAAAACCCAAAGAGGAAAACACCTCCATTGGTTTTGCCTGTGACTGAGAGTGATTACCCACAACAACATTCCAAATGTGCCGTCCGTGGTCGGCTTCTACCGTTATTCTTTGTCCCTTTCTATATCTCCCTTTTTCTTTTCTTTGGAGCTGCACTCATAGAAGCTGAAGAACACCTGTTATGGGCTGTGTTCAGGCCAAGCAATTGGATTCGGAAGGTCCAGACTACCGGGGCCTAGAGAGGTTGAAGTTGGATAATGGGTATGTCGCAAGCTCTGACTTTGTTGCTCACAGGAGATCCACTGGTCAAAGACATGACCCCAATAAGGACCACCATCACAGGCTGCATCAGCATCAGAGAGAACAGCCCATAAAGAATAAAGTTGAGTCCGGTGTTGCCAAGGATGGTTCTGGGCATCATAAGGGCAAGGTGGTTGGAAGGGAGGGGAGGCGATTCACGCGTCTTGATGATAAGAAAGTGACAAACAAGTGTTGCTTTGAGGATGAGATGGTAGATGGGTGGCCAAGGTGGTTGGTTGATAATGTCCCTGCACAAGTGTTGGCTGGCTTGGTTCCCAGGAGTGCTGAATCCTACAAAATGATTGATAAGGTTTTTTATTTCTTGGTTCTGTATGAATTTTGTTTATGATATGGTATGAAGGGTTGTGGGGAACTTTAAGTACAAATGTGTTTTTACAGAGTTTTTCTTGCAAAATTATTTGGTTATTCTGTGCACAGTGAATATGGTTAGCTGTAGGCTAGAGCTCATCAACAAGCCACATTGTGTTTGAAAAATGATTTCAGACATTTTTTAAGGTGTGGAGTCAGTGTTCTGCAATTTATAATTTTCTCTGCTTGAATCTCCTTGAGTTCCAGGTATCTCTACTTGCTCTGGGAATGGGCGATTTGAATTTGGCAATTTATGGAAGCAGACAGTTCAATTGTTTGTGCAATGCACGATTGATTTGAAAGCACTATTAATCTTAATCTCATATGTACTTAGTTTAATCGAGGTTTGATCAGTTATATCATGAAAACTTCAAGCAATTGAGTCGTGATATTGATTTCTATCTAGATTATAGAAATGTTAATCCGGAGCTGTATTCAACTACTTCTTAAGTTTTATTGTTTCCAAACTATTGACAATCCACTGTGCAAGTTTTGTTCAAATGCAGTTCACTTATAACAATCAAAACTGAAGTGTTGTCGTAACTGATAATGGCAGGATGGAGCAGACAAATTGACTTGTGTTATTTACGTTTTGCAGGTTGGACAAGGAACCTACAGCAATGTTTATAAAGCTCTGGATAGAGACACAGGAGAAATTGTGGCCCTGAAGAAGGTTCGCTTCAATACATCAGAGCCCGAAAGCATAAAGTTTATGGCAAGAGAAATTACCATATTACAGAGACTGGATCATCCCAATGTAGTCAAACTTAAAGGATTAGCCACTTCAAGAATGCAGTACAGTATATATCTAGTTTTTGAGTTCATGCAAACAGATTTGGCACGAGTCATTGCTCGTCCTGAAGAGAAACTATCAGAACCACAGGTTAAAAGATTCTCTTTGATGCTTTGGTCATTTTAACATTTGAACCCCTTTATACTCCTTAATGATCTTAAAAAGTTAATGTAGGTCAAGTGCTATATGCATCAATTACTATCAGGTCTGCAGCATTGCCATGATAGGGGAATTCTTCACCGAGATATAAAGGGGTCAAACCTTTTGATTGATAAAAATGGGATGCTTCAGATTGCAGATTTTGGACTTGCCAATTTTTATGGTCCAGATTATCATCAGCCTCTCACTAGCCGGGTTGTGACACTATGGTACAGAGCTCCTGAATTGTTGTTAGGTGACACAAACTATGGAGTTGGTGTTGATCTGTGGAGTGCTGGATGTCTCCTGGCAGAAATGTTCAAAGGATTCCCAATCATGCCTGGCAGAAATGAGGTGATGAAGATAGTGGCTTCGTTTTATGTTCAAGTATCTTTGGCTATTTCTGAAATTCCTTTCTTTTTATACTGTCTTCTATTTCTGTTGTTCTGTATAAGTTTGTGTTATGTTGCCTTCATTTCTTACTGACTTCAATTTTTCTAGATCTGATAAGAATGAACTTTCCCTGCTTCCAGGTTGAGCAAATTCATAAAATTTTCAGGCTATGTGGCACACCATCAGAGGAGTATTGGAGAAAATTGAAACTTTCTACTACTTTTAGACCTCCAAAGTCTTATAGACCCAGCCTTATAGAAACTTTCGGTGATCTCCCTTCTTCTTCTTTAGGTCTTTTATGCACCCTGCTTGCTCTGGATCCTGCATTCCGTGGAAGTGCATCCAAAGCTCTTAAAAATCAGGTTAGAAAAGTGTAAAGATTGAATCTTGAAAATCATATTCCTAAGTTATTCTGTCTCCAAACCATTAAACTACGCAATGCACAATACATTTTCTATGAAGATCGAACCTTTTCTCCAGTTGCAATTTGTTGGCTATGACTTTTCAATTTCGCACACCAATTTGCAATTCCAGTTTTCAATACATAGAATATATACTTTATACGAGTAGTTGGGAGTGTGAATGGCTTAGTAACTATGTGCACTTTTTATTTGACGAATCATCTTCAATGAAAATTACATTTTATGGATTTAATGTTCTCGTGATGATTCAGCAGTGGCCCATTGTCTTGTAGAACTTGTAGATGTAGAAAAAATGTGAAATAATATTAAATTCAATATGCAATTCCCAGTGAGCAGCTAGGAAATAATTAAATACCTAAATTACTTCAAATTTCCAACGTACGAGTGTCTTCTGTGTGCAGTTTTTCTTTACAAGCCCATTGGCGTGTGACCTCTCTGGTCTGCCTGTTCTCTTCAAAGAGGATGATGAGCATGTTCAAGCCAACGAACAGATCAAGTAAGTCTTTTTTGGTCATACAGGTTTTTGACAATCGTTTCAGTCATTTTATTACACATACATATCCTTCTTCTGTTACATAAGTCACATGTATATGTGACAGTGATTAATGGCATACCTCTTATTTCCATAGTGAGAGTGAACCATATCGGTTATTTTGTTTTCATAATTTAGCAAATTGTTTCATTTAAGCAGTATAAAATGAATCTAGTTACCAGAAAGACCATCTTGTGACGAGCTATTGGATGCCATTATTTATATCCTGTATTGCCATCATTAATGTAATTCTATTTTGAATTTGCTAGAAGTTGAGTGTAAGACAATGCCAAATGCTAGTAAATTATATAAAATCTGTTTTGATTTTTGATGAGAGAAGAGAGATTCTGGGCAACAATGCTGATGAGAGCAACTTCGTATACGAACCCCTTGTCCCAAAATGGATAACTAGATTCACTGTTCATACATAGGTTGCTACATATTGGTATTTGTGATTGGGTTTGATAATCTGACATATGTTTATGCTGAGGAATTTTTGTTCAACATGTGGCATTGAACTATATTTGAACTATATTAATCCAGGTACATTTGTTCAAATGTGGTGATTATATAAAAAATTATTGTCTTAAAGATTTAAATTATTAATTTCAGCACTGGCACAGAGATCTTAATGTTTTATTAATACTTACAGGTACATGAACTCTAAAATCAGACGTTCTCGTACATATCTGGAGCGTCGTAAGAATTCAGCATCTAAGAGGCCAACAGAGCATACTGTATCTTCTAAAGAGGTATTAATGAAAATTTGAGATTCCCCACTCTCATGCTTGATGGAGTTAGATTCAAATTTTTCTTTTGCCCAATTCCCCGTTAAGTTTTCTTCTGTTTAAGTGTTTTCTNGAATTTATCCATACTCATTTGGATAGATAAAACAGAGAATAAAAATATATGAAAAATATTTTATAACAACTAAAATATACTTTTTACTAAAATTAATTTTCTTAACATAAATTATTTACCACTTTAAAAAATATATTATAACTTCTTAAAAATTAAAGCTAGAAATTAAGAGCGAAGTCATTTTCCTTTTATTTCATGTACTTCTAGTAAGAAAATATTTTTGGATAGGTTTCGTAGGAATAAGTTTTCTCTTTTTTATTCCTGTTCTGAGATAGTAAATAGTATAAAAAGTAAATAAACGTGTGATGTGTGATGATGTGTTAGCATGGATATACGAATCTTGGTGGGTGTCCGTATTCTGCAAAGGTTGCCGGCTGTGGGACCCAAACAAAAGAATAAAAGATCTAACATCTCTGCCATACACAGACACGTGCGCCCAACACTCACTCACGCCATTGCCTACTGTCACACTCCATATGTCTTTCCATCTTCAAAGTTTCACCCTTTCCTTTCCACTTTCAAAACTCTCTCTCTCTCTCTCCCATTCTAGTAACTGCGCAGTCATTTTCTCTCTCTGCGGAAAACCCAAAGAGGAAAACACCTCCATTGGTTTTGCCTGTGACTGAGAGTGATTACCCACAACAACATTCCAAATGTGCCGTCCGTGGTCGGCTTCTACCGTTATTCTTTGTCCCTTTCTATATCTCTCTTTTTCTTTTCTTTGGAGCTGCACTCATAGAAGCTGAAGAACACCTGTTATGGGCTGTGTTCAGGCCAAGCAATTGGATTCGGAAGGTCCAGACTACCGGGGCCTAGAGAGGTTGAAGTTGGATAATGGGTATGTCGCAAGCTCTGACTTTGTTGCTCATAGGAGATCCACTGGTCAAAGACATGACCCCAATAAGGACCACCATCACAGGCTGCATCAGCATCAGAGAGAACAGCCCATAAAGAATAAAGTTGAGTCCGGTGTTGCCAAGGATGGTCCTGGGCATCATAAGGGCAAGGTGGTTGGAAGGGAGGGGAGGCGATTCACGCGTCTTGATGATAAGAAAGTGACAAACAAGTGTTGCTTTGAGGATGAGATGGTAGATGGGTGGCCAAGGTGGTTGGTTGATAATGTCCCTGCACAAGTGTTGGCTGGCTTGGTTCCCAGGAGTGCTGAATCCTACAAAATGATTGATAAGGTTTTTTATTTCTTGGTTCTGTATGAATTTTGTTTATGATATGGTATGAAGGGTTGTGGGGAACTTTAAGTACAAATGTGTTTTTACAGAGTTTTTCTTGCAAAATTATTTGGTTATTCTGTGCACAGTGAATATGGTTAGCTGTAGGCTAGAGCTCATCAACAAGCCACATTGTGTTTGAAAAATGATTTCAGATATTTTTTAAGGTGTGGAGTCAGTGTTTTGCAATTTATAATTTTCTCTGCTTGAATCTCCTTGAGTTCCAGGTATCTCTACTTGCTCTGGGAATGGGCGATTTGAATTTGGCAATTTATGGAAGCAGACAGTTCAATTGTTTGTGCAATGCACGATTGATTTGAAAGCACTATTAATCTTAATCTCATATGTACTTAGTTTAATCGAGGTTTGATCAGTTATATCATGAAAACTTCAAGCAATTGAGTCGTGATATTGATTTCTATCTAGATTATAGAAATGTTAATCCGGAGCTGTATTCAACTACTTCTTAAGTTTTATTGTTTCCAAACTATTGACAATCCACTGTGCAAGTTTTGTTCAAATGCAGTTCACTTATAACAATCAAAACTGAAGTGTTGTCGTAACTGATAATGGCAGGATGGAGCAGACAAATTGACTTGTGTTATTTACGTTTTGCAGGTTGGACAAGGAACCTACAGCAATGTTTATAAAGCTCTGGATAGAGACACAGGAGAAATTGTGGCCCTGAAGAAGGTTCGCTTCAATACATCAGAGCCCGAAAGCATAAAGTTTATGGCAAGAGAAATTACCATATTACAGAGACTGGATCATCCCAATGTAGTCAAACTTAAAGGATTAGCCACTTCAAGAATGCAGTACAGTATATATCTAGTTTTTGAGTTCATGCAAACAGATTTGGCACGAGTCATTGCTCGTCCTGAAGAGAAACTATCAGAACCACAGGTTAAAAGATTCTCTTTGATGCTTTGGTCATTTTAACATTTGAACCCCTTTATACTCCTTAATGATCTTAAAAAGTTAATGTAGGTCAAGTGCTATATGCATCAATTACTATCAGGTCTGCAGCATTGCCATGATAGGGGAATTCTTCACCGAGATATAAAGGGGTCAAACCTTTTGATTGATAAAAATGGGATGCTTCAGATTGCAGATTTTGGACTTGCCAATTTTTATGGTCCAGATTATCATCAGCCTCTCACTAGCCGGGTTGTGACACTATGGTACAGAGCTCCTGAATTGTTGTTAGGTGACACAAACTATGGAGTTGGTGTTGATCTGTGGAGTGCTGGATGTCTCCTGGCAGAAATGTTCAAAGGATTCCCAATCATGCCTGGCAGAAATGAGGTGATGAAGATAGTGGCTTCGTTTTATGTTCAAGTATCTTTGGCTATTTCTGAAATTCCTTTCTTTTTATACTGTCTTTTATTTCTGTTGTTCTGTATAAGTTTGTGTTATGTTGCCTTCATTTCTTACTGACTTCAATTTTTCTAGATCTGATAAGTATGAACTTTCCCTGCTTCCAGGTTGAGCAAATTCATAAAATTTTCAGGCTATGTGGCACACCATCAGAGGAGTATTGGAGAAAATTGAAACTTTCTACTACTTTTAGACCTCCAAAGTCTTATAGACCCAGCCTTATAGAAACTTTCGGTGATCTCCCTTCTTCTTCTTTAGGTCTTTTATGCACCCTGCTTGCTCTGGATCCTGCATTCCGTGGAAGTGCATCCAAAGCTCTTAAAAATCAGGTTAGAAAAGTGTAAAGATTGAATCTTGAAAATCATATTCCTAAGTTATTCTGTCTCCAAACCATTAAACTACGCAATGCACAATACATTTTCTATGAAGATCGAACCTTTTCTCCAGTTGCAATTTGTTGGCTATGACTTTTCAATTTCGCACACCAATTTGCAATTCCAGTTTTCAATACATAGAATATATACTTTATACGAGTAGTTGGGAGTGTGAATGGCTTAGTAACTATGTGCACTTTTTATTTGACGAATCATCTTCAATGAAAATTACATTTTATGGATTTAATGTTCTCGTGATGATTCAGCAGTGGCCCATTGTCTTGTAGAACTTGTAGATGTAGAAAAAATGTGAAATAATATTAAATTCAATATGCAATTCCCAGTGAGCAGCTAGGAAATAATTAAATACCTAAATTACTTCAAATTTCCAACGTACGAGTGTCTTCTGTGTGCAGTTTTTCTTTACAAGCCCATTGGCGTGTGACCTCTCTGGTCTGCCTGTTCTCTTCAAAGAGGATGATGAGCATGTTCAAGCCAACGAACAGATCAAGTAAGTCTTTTTTTGTCATACAGGTTTTTGACAATCGTTTCAGTCATTTTATTACACATACATATCCTTCTTCTGTTACATAAGTCACATGTATATGTGACAGTGATTAATGGCATACCTTTTATTTCCATAGTGAGAGTGAACCATATTGGTTATTTTGTTTTCATAATTTAGCAAATTGTTTCATTTAAGCAGTATAAAATGAATCTAGTTACCAGAAAGACCATCTTGTGACGAGCTATTGGATGCCATTATTTATATCCTGTATTGCCATCATTAATGTAATTCTATTTTGAATTTGCTAGAAGTTGAGTGTAAGACAATGCCAAATGCTAGTAAATTATATAAAATCTGTTTTGATTTTTGATGAGAGAAGAGAGATTCTGGGCAACAATGCTGATGAGAGCAACTTCGTATACGAACCCCTTGTCCCAAAATGGATAACTAGATTCACTGTTCATACATAGGTTGCTACATATTGGTATTTGTGATTGGGTTTGATAATCTGACATATGTTTATGCTGAGGAATTTTTGTTCAACATGTGGCATTGAACTATATTTGAACTATATTAATCCAGGTACATTTGTTCAAATGTGGTGATTATATAAAAAATTATTGTCTTAAAGATTTAAATTATTAATTTCAGTACTGGCACAGAGATCTTAATGTTTTATTAATACTTACAGGTACATGAACTCTAAAATCAGACGTTCTCGTACATATCTGGAGCGTCGTAAGAATTCAGCATCTAAGAGGCCAACAGAGCATACTGTATCTTCTAAAGAGGTATTAATGAAAATTTGAGATTCCCCACTCTCATGCTTGATGGAGTTAGATTCAAATTTTTCTTTTGCCCAATTCCCCGTTAAGTTTTCTTCTGTTTAAGTGTTTTCTTCTGTTTAAGTGTTTGCACCAATAATTTAAAACTACAGATGTTATGTCTTCATTTTTATAGCTTGATCTTTAGCCATACTTTTCTTGTTATCATTTTGGTTATGCAGTGCTACTATTGCAACTCATTTGATGTATGTTTAATTGATGTATTGGTTTCACATGTTCTTTCAGGAATTGATAAGGAATGCTAAACCTGAAACTTATGCTCCAACTGTAGACATGGGTAGCACAAGTAGTACCTCATCTAGTGTAAACCCAGGAGGGGCTAAGGACCAATCACCTTTTTTTCTATCTCCATTTGGGGAATTAGATCGAAAGCTATCTCCAAAAACCCACCACCACCATGTTAATGTTGGTGAAGAAAACATCAAAATTCTTCCTCCATTACCCAAGTCTAAACCAAATGCTACGAAGAAAGATGACAGTAGATACAGACCAGACCAGTTTTTCAGGTCAGCTTCCACCAGAGAATTTAGATACTTGAAAAGGGAAAACGTTTAACTCTTGGATTTTGATCATTAGGCTATCGGAGAATATGTAAACCCAAAATGGTTATTTTTATTTTAG